AATTGTAACCTCTGAGTTGACTACAGCCTTCGTTCTTTGTGAAGAGGCAAACTACAAACTTGCAGCCACATTTGGAGCTGACAGGACAGCAGTGTTTCATCCTCAGAAGATATATTTTGGGTGGAGTATCACTTTAAGATAACCCAAACTATTTCTTTCATGACTTAAATTAAGTGAACCGACTGTACAACATTAAAAAGCTATCATGCTTCATTCTGGGCCCCATTTTATGTCCCATAATTGTTGATGCTGTTTAAATCCCAGTAGGAAATTATTATATAGTTTGTCCTTTATTTTATACATGAAGTGAAAGTTTACATAAGTACAGTGTGATGATCATTTAGAAAGTCATCAATCGGCTAATAAATCTCCTTACAACAATCCAGGTTGGCTGAGGTTTTGAAGATGTTTGTGTCCAGCAGTAGCAATTTATTTGTGCAGAGATTAAGTTTTTATGGCTTTTTGTTTATTCTGTTTGAATTAGTGAGATGGGATAAACCGGAGGAATGATTGAAGCCAGGCACACCGGGGAGCAGAGGGAGACGGATGGACAGAAAAAGGAGGGGAGAGGAGTTTGGGGGTGAAACCGCAGTTTTTATGTGTTGTCTGGTTTTAATTTGGTAAGAGCCATCATTCACCAGTTCACCGAGGTGGCAAACCAGAGGAGTGTGTACTTCAGAGTCGGAGTGTTTCGTTCTTTTGTGCTATCTGAACTGCTAAAAGTCTCTGACACTTTGTCATTTGTCCTTGCTCTTGCAAACCCTTACCTTTCCTAAAGCCTCATGGTTTGTTTCTGTTTGTTCCTTTGTTTATCCCCAGTGCCTTCAGCCATGCAAAGAACTGTGGAAAACCAGGAAGGTGCTTTCTTCAAAGTCCTGTGAGGTAAGATAGACAGTGCATAGTGTATATTTTGTGTGTGTGTGTATATAAGGCACAACATCCTTTGTGACATCGTCACTCCTGCACTAGAAGCTGCTTTGCATTTGTCTGCGTGTGCCACAAAAGAACATTCCTGTGCGTGTTTATGCAAGCTACTGTATGTGTGTTATGAGTACCATGTTTTGAATGTATACATGTGAGACAGTGTGTGTCTGTGTGTGTCTGTGTGTGTGGCCCTAAATGACTATTTGTAGAGCCAGTTACTGTGGTTTTCAGATACATTAGTTTTTCATCACAATAGCTGAAGAATGTTACTGGCTGACTGGTTAGGAAAACGAGGTAATTCAGAGCTATTAGCTAAAGCTTGCGCTTACATTTTGCTGATCTGCAGCCATGTGCAGAAACACAGAAATACACTCACACACAGATGATCATACACACATCCAATTCTTTTCAGAGTAAAATCTCAAAGGCTTCCTTCAAAGAGTCAGTAGGAGTTTATCAAGGGTTTTTTGTCCCTGTGAGTGTTTATGTGTATGACATATTATATTAATTCCTGTGTTCTTTCTCTCAGAAGCAGACAGAGTGTGTGACAAGCAGGGAGTTTCTGGCCTCCCTCAGGTCTTCTCGTCAGGGTGACTGCCCTCCGCCTCAGCGAGCCACCGGATTTGCTGCAGCCTGTGTCGAGAGCTGCTCATCAGACCAGCATTGTCCGTCCCCTAGAAAGTGCTGCTCCAATGGTTGTGGACACACTTGCCAAGCTCCAGCCAATTTATACAAAGGTAAATGTAGCTTCATTAGAGCAGGTTGGGGCTTGTTTGTGACATCCTTTGAGTTTTAACTGAGAATGTCTTCAGAGAATGAATTGTTTTTGATTGTCTCATCAGAGACCTGGCTAATTCTTAGTAATTTATCACAAATAACATATTTTTGAGTGATGTTTACATTTAGCTTCATCAATTTTGTTATTCAGAATATTTGTATGTTTGCTTCATCTGTAATCATTTTTCTGATATGCACATTTTAAAACCATGATTAGAATTGATTTCCTCCCAGTCAGTTCTAAATTTTAATGTATGGCTTTTTAAATAATTTGCATGCACAGCCACAGCACATCTGTAATAATACCCACACAGGTGATTTCAATTATTTGGGTTGACTAGATGTCCTCTCAAGAATCTGTGTGCCTGTACAGACTGTAGGCAACTGCAGCCTCTTGTTAGTTGCACCTGCTACAATGAGGAAAATGACACCACTATCATTTGTTCAAAGAATTTGGTGACCTCATGTAATTACAAGCCTACTTCCACTCAAACTCAACCTGAGTAGAGGCCTAATTAGCCGGAATAAGTGAAAACATCTGTGGGGGTGTGCGAGCCCTTCAGCAAGTACAACTACAGTGGCTTCAGAAAGTTTCCAGGTCCTTTCACTTTTTACACACATTATTTTGTTGGAGATCTCATTTTAAATGGATACATTTTACACTTTGCCCATCAATCTACATTCTATAACCCATAATGACAAACTAAAACATGTTTTTACAAATGTAAGAAAAATCAACAACTTCACTCACAAAAGCAGTCAATCTTAATTTGTTTGATGCCCCATTGGCTGCACTTACTGCTTCTGGACTTTTCAGGCCTGTCTATACAAGCTTTGCATACCTGGATTTGGCCAGTTTATCCAATTCTTGAGGCCACTGTGCTATTGTCAGCACTCTCTGCACCACGTGTTCCGAGTGTCATTATTGTTCATCCCATAATTAACACATAACATCACTTTTCTGTTTTGTCCTTTCAGGTGTTCCTCTGAAGCCTCGCAGGGAGATGACCTTTGTGGAGGACTCAGAGGGTCACGTGCAGGTGATGTGGGTGTCCAAGTTCAATGTCAGCATGGAGCCGGTTGTTTATATGTTCCAGTCCCGCTGGAACGTTGGTATCCATCCCAGTGAGGACCACGCTTCTCCATGGACTACTGTTGCCATGGTAACTAGCCTGAGGTTTTTATTTCAGGATGAGAGGATTTGAAATACTGGAGTCAAAGTATTAAAAAGAAACTCTGAGGCTTACAGTGTTTTTTGTGGTAATGTATTTGTTCATTAATGTTTTGATTGTTCTGTGTGTGATATCCTCCTACATATATACATTATCCAGGGATATTACCTGTGTAGATATTGGGGCAGGCTGATACCCAGAAAAAAAATGCAACAACACGACAAATACTTGGTTAACTAGCGGCCTTGACAGTAAGTTATTGGTGCTATAAAAATGGTCCCCTGTGCCTTTAACAGCGGAGCTGCACCACATAACCTATCTTTACCTCATAACTCTCAATTTGCCTCGAATGATGACATTTCTCAGCTATGGAGATGGATGTAAGACTCTGTTTCCACTTCATCAGTTTGCTGTCTAGCTGTCTAAACCTCTCCACCCCAGCCAGTCTCCCATTCTTCCAGGGTAAACTGCGTGTCTGTGTGTGTGAAATATATGTCTGTGTGTGTTCCTGAGTGAGGTTAAGTAAATAAGCAGAGCTTAAAAAGGAACTACAAGCAGCCATAGTCGTTCCACCAGCTGAATCTGAATGACTGAAACACTCATTATAGACTTAAATAGATGGCAGCTCATGTGTGTGTATGGATGAGCAGATTTCAAGCAGAAATTACAAGGAGACAAAACATGAATATTTTGCAGTTTCAACCATAATTTGGGCACATCATTTCATTTCACTTTTATCAGATGGCATTCCAGTCCAGCTGTGCTCATCTGACTTTCCAGCACATTAACTGGTGAAACCTGTATGTCTAAAACTACACAGGGCTCTGTCATGTTTTTGAATGAAGATATGTTATGGATTTGTGAGAGAAAATGGAAGTGAGGTTTATAGTGGTCAGTTTTTGGTGAAACTCTTTTAGAGCAGTGTTGTTTCAAATGCATGATTGTTTTGGAAGATGTATGGATTTAAGGCTCTGTTAACTTGGGATATTTGCAAAGGATTTGCAGCTCATTTTTTGGTGCTAAACAGTGAAACTGCATGTGTTCATTTACTGAAGAGTCGCATTTGGGGTTTTGCACCAGACAAACAGAAGAAAAGCGGCACCGCAGGAATTTGTGTTGGGTCTTATGCAATATGTATTTTAGGGCATTTTCGTTCAGGGACACAAAAATTAGGGAGGAGAGAATAGAAATATATGCAGATACTCTCAGTTCCTACTGCAGCAGAGAGAGCTGGCTGAAATTTAACATCGGGGGAAGCAGGTATAAACTTTGTGGCCCTGCTGTCAGCGTGGCAGCTGTTAATCATGTGAGATCTCTTTAGACTTCAGAACATGTTTGAGGAGGGAGAGGGTGTTTGTAAATCGCTCGTCAGAGGAGAATGTGAGGGTCTTTTACAGGCTTTCAGGTCAAACCATGCTTCAGTTACTGAACAAAATGAAAGATGATTTGCCTGGCAGAGGAGTAGGCCTATGTGACTGCAGTTCCAAAATAGTTTTGCTTGTTTACATCATCAGTGCGACACTTCCCCATGTGGACTGGAGAAGCTGGGGATCAAATCGCTGACCCTATTTTTAGGAAATGACCTGTTCTATAGTATCTCCTGAACCCAACAGTATAATGGTGCATCAACATTAGAAATCATGTTATCAAGTAGTAATGAATGTCAGTTTGGGGCAGCATGGTGGCACAGTGGTTAGCGCTGTCACCTCACAGCAAGAAGGTTCTGGGTTCGAACCCGGGCTGACCCCTTTATTTGCATGTTCTCCGTGTGCCTGCGTGGGTTCTCTTCGTGTACTCCAGCTTCCTCCCACAGTGCCCACAGTGCAAAGACATGCAGCTTAGATTGATTGGTGGCTCTGAAATTGCCCGTATGTGTGGGGTTGGGTTGTTTGTCTTCATGTCCACTCTGTGATAGACTGGTAACCTGTCCAGGGTCTACCCCCCTCTCGCCCAGTGTCAGCTGGCATAGGCTTCAGCCCACCTGCGACCCTATTCAGGAATAAGCAGTATAGATAATGGATGGATTGATATTGAAGCTGGTGAATTTTATTTGCTAGATGATGGATCTTCCAAACCCCTTGTATAAACCATACTGAGTCCTGATCCACCTTTAATATCATTGTTATTTGTAATGTGTGTTTTTAGACCCTTTCTGAAGATGTGGTTCTGTCAGATCTGAGGCCTCAGCGTTGGTACCAGTTCAGAGTAGCAGCCATTAACAGTCACGGCAGCAGAGGGTTCACCACACCGAGCAAACACTACATCTCCAGTAAAGGTAATGCAAGCACACTCTCATTTTCTTCAGAGAGCTGCTATGAGTGATCTACAGGTGAATCCTCCTACATGTTTCCATAACCTATCTGTGAATTTCGATATTCTGTCATAAGACACTGAACAAAACAGATTCTTGTTCCATTTGTGTCATTTCGTGAGAGGTACTTTACTTCTCTGAGGAAAAGTTTGAAACTCAGGAACATTTCCCTGTTCTTTCTCGCTTTCACTCAGGGTTGATGGATAAGGTATAAACAAGCAGGAAAACTATCAGGCACTCCATAAAACACAGACCTGAAACAGAATATACACACAGCTCCACACTGCACAGACACACGCATACAGTACATTCAGCTGGTTTAGTGCCAGAGTGAAATCCTTGTGTGGGTCAGTGAGACAGGGTGAAAGTGAGAGTGAGACAGACACTTCAGGTCAGACACACACACTGTAGGAGGTCCTAGCTCTAATGCTTAGCAGACTTGGGTCATTTTGGTGTTACGCTAGAATTGGCTAGTGATATGAATTCCCTGCCAGGAGTGAGTGTAGAGCATGTTTGTATGTGAGTAATGACTTCAGGTTGGACTGAGCTTTGGAAAAAATGTTCCTTATCAGTTGAAGACATATGGGAGAGTATGAAGAGTTGTTTGAAATGGTATTTTCCACAACCATCAACAAAACCAGTAGAGTTTTATAAACATTACAACCTGTGCCATGGCTCACTGAACCTTCTATGGCAGCTTCTCGTAGCCCATCAACATATTAAAGGTTGGACATTTGAAAATATACTTATGTGCTTTTTTTTGCTGAGTTAGTTGAGAAGATTCACACCACCCTCATGTCTGTATATTGTATATGAAGGTGGAATTATGCATCTCCAAACTGCACGTGCATGATATGGTGTGTACAATTTCATTCAATCATGATACAATTAAAAATTCAATGATAATGTATGACTTGCTGCAGAATACTTGTATTTTATTCCTCTTTATTCCATGTTCTAGCACTGGTTTGATTACATACAGAACAACCAGATATATTGACTTGCGTTCTGTTAGGTTATCCTGTTTACAAAAAATCTGAAGTCGCTGTATGCCTAGACAAAATGATACATATTTTGATGTTTTTGTATCATGATATGTTACATTTCAATATATTGTTACTGCTCCTAGCTGAGAAATAGTCCCCACACATAACCTGACCCCCAAAATCAAACACTGCACATTTCACATTTCAAGTCAAGTTTATTTACATAGCACAATATAACACATTTCACACGACAGGCGTAGACTCAATGAGCTTCAAAAATATAGAGCAGAGGAACACAAGAATACACAAAAGAAATGCAACATATAAGTTACTGTTAAAAGATATTACATACGTACATATTGAATTATTTCTTCAAGACAAGTGCATGAGTATGTGTGTGCTTGTATGTATTTTAGGGCCCGGGTTAAAGGTTAAAGACAAACTAAACATTCCAAATACCATCTGACCGCAGTCAGAGTCTTGTGTTTCCAGTTCATTAGTCTGACTAGTCAGGGCCTGGAGGTCAGAGGTCAGAAATCAGGAAGCCGGCAGATGTCAGAATTTTTGAGGTTCTTCCACTGTGACCTGAGGTAACTACAGAGAGAACCTTTCCTGTTCATTGAGATATTAGGCTCGCACAGTACCTGCCAGCAGTAATTACGAGGGAATGCCTGGATCAGAAAATGAGTCTTGATGTCTTCATCTCATGAAGAAAAAAATGCATTGAAATCTGATTGATTAAATGAGACATACAAAGTTAAAAATGCCTCAAGTATGTGTGTGTGTTTTGGTTCTGCTCTGGCAATTATTATTATTATTATTATTGGATAACGCATGTGTACATTGAGAGCCACTGTACCGGAGTCAAATTCCTCATGTGTTCAATACACCTGACCAATAAAGCTGATTCTGATTACTGCGGGCACTAAGAGACACCCTGCTTACTCCAAAGAAACACCACACACACATGTACAGACAAACAGGTCAAATCGTACAGCACCAGTATTTTGCCCTAAGCTGACCTCTGCCTTTGGGTTTGCCGAGCACAGCCTGGGGCCTGTGGGGGGCCTGCCATGGGGATGTAGTGCTAACCAATTTCATTTTGTAGTTTTAATCAAATACAGGATTGTGGGTTGAGGCGCTAATGAGATGCAGAGCTGGGGTTAAAAGAGCTGCAACCTCAGATTTTCACCTTGGAGGCAAACAGTAACTAGTGGCGGTTGCTTTTGGTCTGTGTTGGGCTTCTGCAGCATCACTCACCTTTGATGCTGTAAATCTAATTGGCTTAGTGGACTTGAATGAGAACAAGAGGAAACAAGCCTTTCTCCCCCTGGAATGGCTTCTTTATTTTGCCCCTCTGTCTGCTACAGGGGGCACTAGATAGGACTGAATGTTTGTTTTACATTGAACTCACAATTTAGCAGAATGCAGTTTTAAAATGTGAGAAATTTTAATGAGAAGTTACACAATTACCAAGCTGTAGGCAGTGAACGCTAGAGCCTTTGACTCTTGATTTCACTAGTTACAGTATAATGGAAACTGTGGCTGACAGATTTACTCTGTTGTATCTAATTAACAAATTTTTTTTGAGTTGGCAACCAAAAATAAACAATAGGCTGTTGTGTGGTTAATATGCTCAGCATGCTGAACTATGTTGGACTATTCAAGTTTGGCCATTTTATCACAGAGAATATTAATGGAATCAATATTTTTTCAGTGAGAGAAAAGGAGATGTAATTTCAAATGAAAACATGTCAATGATAGCACTGATGTAATTTTGATGATGATTTCCGCCACCTCTGTCTGCCTGAACAGTTCTCCCTCTGTCTGTCTCTGCAGATCCCTCACCTCCAGAACCTCCAATAAACATCAGAGTGAGCAACCAGACTCTGGACTGGACAGGTTCACTTCCCGGGTCCCAGTTCACAGAAAGGTATCAATAAATCGATGATGCACGATAATTAAATAGATTGATCAGCTTTTTTTTTTCTTGCTGAGTTTGTGCACTGCAGGCTGCCGCTGTGAGTGATCAGTTGTACATTGTGGTGGGGAGGATAGACAGTCATTGTCTTGCATAACTGCGGGCAAATTACAATTAATCTTTGTTCAGTCGTAGAGTATATTGCAGTTCGTGACTGTTTGCTTTCTTTCCTCAGGTTAAGGGGAAGTGGGGTCACCGTGTCGGTTTTATTACAGTGGGAGCCCCCCAGAGAGGGAGACCTGCCAGTCCACAACTACAGAGTCACCTGGGTGTCTCGGCATACAAACACGGCACACAAAAACACACTACATGCAGGCACACATACAGTGGAAAACAACATGCACATACAGCCTGCACACCCACATTCACCAGAGCAGGGCAAAAAGGAGAGCAGCAGCAGAGTGACTCAAGGGGTAAGGACATTTTTAAATACTCTACATACACTTATTGAAAGAATAAAGTTACTAATTACATTAAAATGCACACAGTCTTCTGAACATGACAACAAATCCAAAACGTAACAATATGGGTCATTTTGTAAGAGGGAATCTGAAAAGTGACAGTATTATTTATAATGAATGGCAGACTAAATTAGCAAAGTTCTATTTATAATCCATTTGACTATTTTCCCAGTTCCCCATAAGAGCCCACTGAAATGTGCAATACATAATATCTCATCCATATTTAAATTGTAATGTGGTCTTTGCTCATTGTGTAAAAACCTACACACATACATACTCACACACTTACACATCTGTACTTCTGAGTACAACATACAAACTGGCTTAACCCAACTGGACACCTATTTTTAGCCTTAAGGGAACACAGTTCAGCTTTCTGGGTAATGTGCTCATTCGCTTTCATTGTGAGAGTTAGATGTAACTGTAAAGCTGCAGCCATGAGATGGTTAGATTAGCTTAAAGACAGGGGGAAACAGTTGGCTTGACTCTGTCCAGAGGTTTAAAAAATTAGCTAGGTTAACACATAATTTCTTATTTGTTAAATTGTGCAAAAAAAATAAAGTTTCAACCCTTAAACAACTTTGTAGTTTTAATTCATATTAGTCCTTACAAACAAGGAGTTAAACATACAGTACCCATGCAGACACACATACATGTGATCCATACCTGCATTTTTTAAGGCCTGTACATCACATAAACACATGCTTTACAGTCCATGTGCTCTGCTTGTAATTACTGTGGTGATTTTACAGGCCTCTGCTGTGCTCAAAGGCAACGGGTTCTTTAAACAGTGGTGTGAATTGGGCTGACTAATTTAATATCAGGGTGGCACAGTGGAACGGTGGTTAGCACTGTTGTCTCACATCAAGAAGGTTTGAATCCTGGCTCTCTCTCTGTGTGGTGTTTGAATGTTCTCCCCATGCCAGCGTGGCTCTCCTCCAGGTACCACAGCCCAAAGACACGCCGGTAGGTTAACTGGTGAATCCAAATTGCCCAAAGGTGTGAGCAGGTGGTTGTCTGTCTCTATGTGTGAGTCCTGTGACAGAATAAACCCCCTCCACCCCCCGACCTTCTACAGGATAAGCGGTATAGATCACGGATAGAAGATGGGTGACTGAGTGTATCAGTTTTCATGGTTGCACAGCATAAGATCTGTGCAGAGACTGAGTTTTATGACTGATGTATAAATTTTTATTCAGAGCTGTAGATGCTAGGACAACATGATGAGAACAAGAGAATGATGTGGGACATGACGTTACTGGTTCTCAGATCAAAAGCAGCTTCTAACTTCTGGAGACATGTAACAGATTTCTTAATGGCAGCAATAATACTCACAAAGGTGGATTTTGTATCCTGATTATAGGTGTGATGATGATGATGTAATAGGTTCAAAAAGCAGTTATCCTAGTCAGTGATACCAAAATACCCATAATCACAGTAAACAACACAAACTGATATTTCAGCATTGACGCAACATGGTATGATTGCCTGTGTAGTGAATACCTGAACATTTTTTTTTCACATCAGTAAATGATGAAAGGACTCTTTTGCACAAGAGCCTTTCATATTTCCACCCACTTAACTTTGAAGTAAGCATACACTTCAAGAAAAATAAAAAAGAAAAGCATTAACATCAGCGTTTTCAGATTTAATGTAAGCACACTCATATGGACCTAGCTATCTTAAGTAGTGAATGCGATCCCAGACTGATCCTAGTGGAGCCATTTATCTGTAGTCTGTTCTGTTTGGCTGAGAGGCCTAGATTTTAAAAGGGGGCCCTTTATCTAGCATTTCTTACTTGCAGCTGCATCTAGACACACACAGAGACAACAGCATCACAACAGGTAGGAGCTGAAATACTATTACTACGTAGCTTTTATGTCACTGATGGAATTTATATTTTATTGTTGTCCATTACCACATGACGATACATTCTGTGACTGTGCTTAAAACGTGTATTGTGTCAGTCACGGATTTATGCAGAACTGGGAGGATTTAACATTAAACCTGTAATAAAAGTAAAAAAAAAAAATGGAGGAAGTATTTAAACATGGAAAAACCTCTGGTGAGGTGGTGCGTTTAAATATACATCAACTTTATTCATAAAGTGTCTACTGACATTATGCTCCAAAATAGAAATGCACACTGTTTCACAAATACACACACATGTACAGCTGTACTGGCCATATGTTTTGTCTATCCTGAGGGTAAAGGAAATGCTCCATTTAGTCTGCAGGTCACCACGGAACTGCTTTTAGCTTGCTTTGTTTGATTGTGTCTCGAGTATAGAGAACCACACACAGACACACACTCACAGACTTATTATCCAAGCATCTCTTTGTTGTGACTAAGTCCACGCAGACCTGACTGACTAAGAACCTGTTAATGAGCTGCCAGTCAAGCAGTGGGCTAATGCAGAACAGGTCTGGGCTGTCAGTTACAATACAGGGCTTCTATACCCAGAAAGATGATGATGATGAGGGTTATGATGACAGTGAAGACGATGATTGTGGTGGCTGTACTGATGAGCCAGGTGATCCCAGTTTTCATTGTAAGCTGTCCACTTTAGGCTAACGTTTGGTGGTTGAAGCCCATCACTGTCATTCAGCTGTCATTTGGAACACTTTTTGTAAGACTCCAGTCAAATTCTGGCAGGTGATAAAGAATTATTGCAGATTTATAAGAGCTACAAGTCTAAAAGCCTAAAGAAAACTCATGTTTTTATGATCCATTTTTATTGTGGTTTAGGCGCAGTGTGAGCTGTGGCTTCAGGGTCTGCTGCCTGCCACCTCCTACTTCTTGTCTGTCCAGACAGTCACCTACTGGGGTCAGAAGAGACTGAAGAGTCCCAGAGTTCAAATAGCTTTTGCTACTATCACTCACACAGGTAAACCAAAATGTATCTTTCATACTGGCCTTTAGTGGAATGACCTAAAATGTATTTTAGAAATTTGACAGAACAAGGTGTGTCTAATTCCATAGCCTTACAGGACTCTGAGCTGATTTAACTTTCAGGAGTTATTGTCAGTTAACTATTAATATACTTTTTAGTGGATGTGGAGACAGATTCATACAAGTTACTGTAAGAGTCGAAGTGTGTATGGTGGCAGTTTGCACCACATTCTCTCAACAGCCGCAGTTCATTTTAAGGAGTAATTATTTTGCGTGTAAAATTTGTGGTTTAATATTACATACCATAATCCAGTGTTTTTACTTTTTTCTTAAAGCCATCTTTCAGTTTGGATGAAGATCATGAGTTTGAAAGATTGCAGGCTGTGTGCAATTACCTAGAAATATTAATCTTACCATAAGAAGCACCAAGTGTCCATTAGGTTTTGTACAGTTTTGTCTTGTGGGGATAAATATTAAAATCTATGAAGCTAAGAGATTCTTGGTAAACTCAGACCTGTTGTCCAGGGAGTGTAAACTGTCACTGTACTGTTTGTGTTGCTGTGGTTCAGCGGTGCAGCTACGTTGGGATCCCCTAGCAACTCTAGCCCAAATAGAGTCTCAGCAAAGTAAACATTATTTCACACTTCATAAACTTGTCATACCATTAGTAAATACTTTATGCACAGTCTGCAACCGCCATTTTTAACTGAGCTGTACTGACTTAATAACCTTACTATAGCATTTTCTGACTGTCACCATACTCTCTCTGCCTGCAGCTGCACTGGTTCGAGACACACACACACACACACACACACACACACACACACACACAATATATTGGAAAGTGGTGATGTTATTGTTTCTGAGTGACAGGAAAGCTAGTTTATGATGTTCCACAATATATTTAGAAATTCCATGTGATGTAGCAGGTTTCATACATCCAGTCAGTTATGATGTGTTTTTGTGATGTTGCCAATAATAACTATTCAGTATTCAGCTACTGAATCATTTCTGTTTACTGTGGTATAAAAAAAAAGAAACATATAAACAGTGGACATCTCTCCTGGATCCAGGCTTTAAACAAAATGCATTTAAGACTTGAAAGTTTCTCAACATATAAATGATGGTTATATTGTGCAAGAAACAAGGTTTATTACTTGTGAAATTTGGCATTCAAATAAAATCTTTGCTATTTTTTTCCTCTCCATCACCAAAGTTGAAGACTTTTCCAATGAACTCCCATCTTCCTCATCTTCATCGTCCCTTTCCTCATCCTCCTCCCCTTCATCCTCTGACCTCCCCCTCTCCTCTTCTCTGCCTCACCCTGAGTCACCCTTGAACCCTGCCACCCCTGGCACCCTGCGCCTGGAGGTTGCTGCTCCTCATTACCATGACAACCAGCTGCAGGTCAAAGTGTTCTGGAAGCGGCCTTACCGCGGTGAGTTGCATGGGAAACAGCGAACAACTGAGTAATACCTGAAAAGTGAAAAAGAACCCAAACTAAAACCAACATAGACTAAAATTTATATAATTATTTTCCATGCATTGAGGTTGGAATGTACTGTATGAGCAGCAGCAGCAGCTTTGTATACGATATACACAGTATACAGTTTTGTGTGAGATACTGATTTTCCATTAGACAGTCATCTTCAAATAGAAATAGACTAGAAACAGCAGAACTCTTCAAATGTCACTGCATCCTTGTATTAAGGATTAACAGAATGGACTATGCACATTAATTAGATTTATTGAAAGGCTCACAATAATAGCTAAAATGTTGCATAGTATAGTACAGTATATTGAGCTGTAGGTACCGATAACAGATTCCTTCAGTGCCTGATTCTCATTATTTCTCATCTGTCTGTTCCACCATCAGCAGACAACTCTCATGTTTTACTAACAAGATAAAACATGCAAGCAAAAAACTGAGAATGCGAATCAGAGAGTTCTATTATTAGTGTGCTTGATGACATAATTTTCTCAGGTTTCCAGGTTTCAAACAGTATAATACAGTACATGATCACAGGTAAAACAAACATGACCTTTTATACCTTTTGTCTGTGTCTGTCCCTTTTTTTTTTTTGCCTCGCAGCCAAACAGGAACACCCTGGCCCATACATTTTGCGGTGGCACCCACATACCTGTAGTACTAATGTTACAAGCACAGAGAGAACAACAACTGTGCAGGTACAATTACCCTGGCAAGGTTTTATGTGTCTCTGTGTTTGTGAAAATGTGTATAGGTATCTTGCTTCTACGTATGGGAGCATTGTGTTTCTTTCTGTGTGTGTGATCATTGTGTCTCTTTGTCTCTATGTGTGTGAGCATTGTGTCTTTTTGTCTCTATGTATGTGAGCATTGTGTTTCTTTGTCTGTATGTGTGTATCAGTGATCAGATTTCATCGCCATAACTCAGATCACTCTGGAATGCTGTCATCTTCTGTCAACGTGTAACTTCACCTCTGTATAACATCACTTTTACAGTATCATAACCCTGTGAAATCCCTGGCTGAAGTATCCTGCATTACTATTCCTGTGTGTGCGTTACTAACAGTTTGTTTCTTAAAGTAATCGTCTGAATCCTACAACACAACCAATGCAAATTCATGTACATTTACGCAAGTTGATGTTTTACACAAGAGGTAACAAAACCAAAGCAGAAGTATTAAACCTCACAACCTTCACAGTGACTATGTTGGAAGCATCGGATTGTGCATGTGTTCCTAATAAACTGGTAACTTTGTGTAAGGCAAGGTTTGACTAAAATTAATCTGTAGGAACGTGAACTGCAAGAACACCTCAGCACAGACTGTTAACCATTAAATACAAAGTGGCTTCAGTGACTTGGAGTGATTCTGGGACAGTCCTTTTATCCAATGAATTATTTTTACATCTACAATACACTTGAAGGATAAAATGGAGTATATACCATATGACGAGACAGAGCTAGACTCAACCAGCATTAGATCTTTACCTAGTGTTGTGTTGTAACCACCTGACTAAAATAATCATAGATCCAGTGGGCAGATAAATATCGAAGTGCTGTATGTAGTTTGCTGATTTTTGTTTATTGAAACTCAGACTTTTTTTAAACAGTTTCACCTTTTCACGCCATTCCAAGCTGCCAAGTACGGCTTTAGACTGATGTTTATTTTAACATGGAGCAAACAAGCTGATTGTATGAGACAATAGAGGTAATATCTATATTTTAAGGAACTTGGTAATACATCATTTTTAACAACCAGATGTGTACAGTTTACACTATATAATCTCTTTATATCCCTATATTATCTCCTTGTAATCTATAACCTGATGTGATTTTTTCTCTGTAGGGCACTCATCACACTATAACAGGCCTGCTATTTGCTTGTAAGTACTGGGTTGCTGTGGCATTGAAGGCTGACCCAGGATCAGAGGCTGTTGCCTGGGTTACGACCCCAACTTGCTCATCCAACAGGGTCAGAGGAGGCAAAGGGTTGTCCTGCAACACTGAGGGTAGGAGTAACTAAATGCAGATGTACATGCAGTGTTTCATTGAACCTCATTAATCCTGTAACCCCTTAATGCCCATTAACTGCTCTGGAACATGTTCTTGCAACATGTGTTGTCTTCTTTTGGAAACACAAAGCAGCCTATTTAGTACAAAGTTAACTTGTTTGATGCACTTGAAATAACTGTAATTATGATCAAACCCTGAACTTTGGTGTGGTCATTTCAGCATAAAAGGTTGTGATATCAAACCTACTTGGTGTTTTGTTTTAGGGAAAAGTTTTGTCCTTTGTTTGTGTCAGAGCGCCTCCTGTCAGGCAGAAAGGTGGCACTGCGTCCAGAGCGGCTGACTGCAGATTTTCAGCAGATCAACAGTACTTTGCTCACAACGTTTCGCTGGAGAATGTCCCAGGATGCACTGGACCCGGCAGCTGTTGAGGGGTTCCAGTTCACCTGGACGCTACAGTCAAGTGTTACCACAGCAACAGAAGGGCGGGAAGACACACTTATCTCCCAGACACAGACGATTGCACCGGTGCGTGAAAAAAGAGTTTTGTATATTGTTACTAGCAAGAGGAAAATGCCTTAGACAAGGCAGCTTTATTTATATAGCACATTTCATACACAGAGGAAATTCAAAATGCTTTACATAGGCAAAGAAAAGTATTAAGAGACAGACACATGTTGACAATAAAAGAATAAATACTGTCACTGAATGACAGTAAAACTCAAGTAATGGTGTTTGGCCCTAAAGCACAGAAAGTGTGAACAATCAAACACCAGTTTCTCTGGGGTAGCGCTGTGCACAAGGCCAGAAATCCACGAGAGGTGTTTGATTCTAACATTTTAGCGGTCAAATCAGGAATATTACCAAGATTAAACAGCTCCTTTCTTTTAAAGATGCTTTTATCTCCAGGCTACTATAGCACATTATTTACTGGACTGCCCCAGAAATCAGTCAACCACCTCCAACTTGTACAAAACACAGCAGTTAGGGGTCTTACAAGTACTACAAATATGAACATATTTCTCCTGTTCCTACCTCATTGCACCAGTTACCTGAACTCAATTTAATATTGTCTCTGGTTGGCCTTGCCCCATACTGCATTGTCAACCTTCTCACCCCTTATACCCCTGCATTTTGTCTCAGAACTGCAGACCAGCTGTTGGTGTCTGTCCTCAAGGTATAAGGCTTGAGATCAAAGGTAGCAGAGCATCTGGGAATAACACATACAACCTCAGTTTTCTCTTTTACAGTCTCATTTTTAGAAACTAGCTTTTAGTTTTAGTGTTTGTTTAGCAGCAGCCTTGTCCTTAAACATTTCTTTATAAATGAAAAGATTTGTGCAAGAAGAAGAGTGCGTGTTTGTCTCTGTGTGTAAGAGCTAATCCTATTTGTGCATCCACAGTCTCAGAGGTCAGTGACAGTTCATGGTCTTCAGGCTGACAGTGTTTACCAGCTGCAGCTCCAGGTGCTAACACCAGGGGGCAGCAACGGCGCTGCAGTTTCCAAGACCATTCACACCCCAGCTATCAATGTCACAGTTTGACAGGTAGACGTTTTCTCTCACAGACACAGCATTTTTGTTTAGATTTTAATATAAAATTGTGTACATTTACCTTAATATTCTGAAAATATTTGTATTAAAAGATCATGCTTTTCATCTTCTGTAATCTGACAGATCATGTCTTCCAGGCCCAGAACCCACATCTGCCACTGCTAGATGCACTATGGCCAGCTTTACGAACAGTTTCAGCAAACATCTTTACCAAGTGCAGACATCATGGCCAAAAGTATAAAACAAAGTGCCTCCTTGTAAAGTGGGCTCTTATACGATAGGTTATTTTCTACTCTGATCATTTATCTTTCACTTTTTGTCACTTTTCTAACATAAGGGCCGTGATCTTCCTCTAACCAGTTGGCTGGTTATCATCAGCATAAAATTTGTGGTTTGCTGTCATTTTACATGGTGCCACTTTAAAAAAAGCACTCCTTAAAAATACTTGTTGTTAGTCTTGGCAGTAAAATGTATATTCTTAAACCACATTTCTTCAGTTTTAATTAAAACTGCAGCATTTTCTAAATGATTCCTCTAGGCATTAGTGCCACGGTGCCTCAGCATTGCAAGATACAGTATGTATGTGAAAAGTGAGACTCCTTGCATTGCTGCATCTGTACATGTTTGGTGTTTAGACTTTATTAGTCCAATCTAATCACCTGACATCACTGGAACCAAAGGACATTTGTATTATTATTATTACAATATTCCTGTTGTTTCTGATCATACTAGGGGAGAACAGTATAGCACTGACCTTATGTACAAATTGTCATGTATAGTAATGTGTTTATTTCGATGCACAATCTGCTGCATTATCTTTGAAGCTAGTGGGTCTGATTTAGTATGTAGAAATCAAAGTAAGTTCAGACATTTTGATATGTATTCATGTGTTTAAAAAACTGTCTGAATTTGCTTGTTTGATATATTTTGGGCATCATTTATTTGCCTATCAGCACATTCAATTCACTAATCAATAATATATGACATTTTTGTAGCTACAGGTAATATAGCTATACCCCTGGTGGATTTCTTTGTTTTGGAAAAAAAAGTCATGTCATTGCTTTGAAAATGTTGGGAACTTTTGGCATCAAAGGAGTAATTATCATGTTAATATAGCCTTTTGTTGACATTTTACTGTTGATAATATGTACTTAATTCCTTTACTTTTATGTAGTTTAATTTATTGTTGTCCTATTTTAGATTTTTGTAAATAAAGATTTGAAGACACTGTTTGTTGTGTCAGTGACCTGGGGGAGAGAATGAAAATAACAGGTATCGTTTCATCATACCATGAATACATAGACCTATGCTATGAACGCAAATATTATATACGTCATGCAAATAAAAGAAAATTAAAATTGGGAAAATTCTGTTGTAGATTTTCGTGTATCTTATAAAATCCAAGTTTTAGAAGCTTCACTAAGAAGCAGTTGCAAAGAAGTGAAATTTAAAGGCTGCTCCGGCCCGAGCGTAATCAGAGTTGAGCGCGTATCCGTGACGTAATCAACAAGCGACTACATCTTGGATTGATGTTTCTTCATATCGTGCTCAGAAACGGTTTATTTTACCGACAAGGTTGTGTATAATGATGTTTATTTCCACTTTTCGTCATCATTTTGACTTATTCTCCAAAACACTTAAAACAGAGAGTCGCAGCTGCTTCTCTGCCTTTAGATGTCTCCAACTTCCAGCTGAAAATGGAGGAAATGTGTGTAGTCGCTGCTTTGTGTTTTCGCCTGTCTTTGCTGCAGCTAGCTGATTTAGCTAGCTTTGGAGTAATGAGTAACTTTTGCAGAACTTTGTGAAATCTCACATGAGATTTAGTTAAATGAGCTAATGGTATGTTGTATTCTTAAATGATGTGTTGAAATGCTTCAATAGCCAAATGTTAACGTATCTTTAGCTGGTGAACGAGGTTTACATTTAACTCCATAACTTATTTGATTGGGGAAATTCAAGCAGTCATTGTGAAAAACCACAATAACCAGAAAAGCCGCTATTGGCTAATTTATCTATACAGATTGATTATTTTCAGCTCGGACATGGTTAAATGTCGCTGCTATATTGTTAACGGTTACTAAATATGGGGTCTCTTTGAAAAGGTGATATTAAGGTTAACAGGTACCTCAAAAAGAACAGGAACACAATGTGGGTTATGTAGCTATCGCTACTTATTATTGTGAAGTGGTGGAATCTGTTGCAAGCTAAAACTACTGTATATGAGAAGGGAACCACCTGTTATTTGCGAATAACATTAATGTAGTTACTACTTCAATTCTGCAAGTGGCCATGTTTCACACAGTCTTAATATGGCGCCTCTCTGAATCAAGAATTTATACATATTTTTTGAAAGTACCTGTTGAATTTAAACGGGTCATTCCTTACAGTGAACAGCAATGAAACTCATACTATATAAACAAGTCCTTGAGCTGCTGTGAACCTGTTGACCTAGAAATGAGAATATTTAATAATTCGGAGATTAAATTTGATGGTAACTACAGTTGCGACCCTAACATAGAATTAGCATCATTCTAGTGGTTTTGGACAGTGTAGTAGGCAGATATAAGAATGATGTTTGTCAGGGCAGATTTTGGAGGCTGGTTTAATTTTCTTCACCACAACTGAAACTTATCTGAATTAAAGATATTCTAGTAATGTGCCCTGGCCTGCTAAAACAATGCGGTTGTTTTGAATATCTTAGTTACAGGGTTGCCTGTTTCTTTGCATGACTCAAAGAGTTGGTGAATCCCTGGATGAAGCCAGTTTCATTCCATGCATATTTAAACTACAAAGATTTAACTGTTGGTCAAACTGGAGGAGGAGGAGTTACTAACATTTTTCATTGAATTTTATTCTGTCTCCCTATTCCTTCCCTATCTTCTTGTTGCTTTTTCCACTCACTCTAATTAGGAGACCAGGGTGGTGGTGTAACTCCAAGCAGAGTCCAGATACCGCTGAGGAACTCTGCCAGGTTGTAGTCTAATATTTTGGTGATGACCTTTATTGTGGGAAAAGCTTGAGAACGACAACTTTTGCATGCAGCAAGGGTACTTTACAGAAGAATATCTGAAACAAAGTGTCAGCAGAAAAACTAAAGAATGAACAAGCCATAAGTGTAAAAATCTAGAGGACCAAAGGGGAGGAGAGGACAGGGGGTGAGGAGAGGGGTGTTGGGGATGGGGTTGAAGAGCCAAAGGAGGACGTCATGGTTCACAGCGGCTCTGCTTCCCCAATGAAAACAACACTGTCAGCATCACCTCATTTAACTCTTCCTGCTACAGCACCGCCTCGGCAAGTAGCACCTCCACTGGTGCCTCCCCTGGGAGATACTACTGGTCAGGACCAGACCCCTGCAAAACTTCTCACCACAGACTTGACTTCCAACTCTAACTCAGCGCATCCTTCTACTCCATCTCTTGCTGATGCAGAAGCTCACGTTGTAACCCTAGCAAAAGCACTTACAACAAACTCGGGCCCAGCATCAGCCCGGTCCTCTACGCAGACACCAATCCCTACTCATGTCCAGTTCAATGGCCGTACATCAAGCAGGAAGAGGACTCCCAAGGCCTGCGACTGCTGTGGACCCAACAGTACAGGGCACAATGTCAGAACCTCAGGCAGAGGAAGGGGGAGAGGGAGAGGTAGGGGGGCTGGCGGTCACTTTGGGGACACCCCAAAAAGAAGACTGGGGGGCCAGCTGACACGTATCAGGAGCTTTGACCTGACCAAGGAGATAGCAGAGGATGAAGATGACACCTCTGAGAAGATGCAAAAGACTGTAGTAGTGGCTGATACTCAGTCACGAACCCCTGTTTCCCGAGTGGTCACATCACTGCAGGGTGGACTGTTACCGAACTGTGGTGCTCTAGACAAAGGGGATATACAGAAAAATGAAGACGCATTGATAGGGGGGTCAGGGGTTGCTGGTGCAGTAGTGAAAGGAGCTGGAAATAGCATGGATGTGGAGATGAGGTTGTCAGGAATGGCAGGCAGGGGAGCATTAGTGGTTAGAAGGAGAGGGAGGGGAGTGAGGAGAGCTACGATCGCATCAAAAATGAAAGTAGAAGGTGATATAACGGGGGGGGATGGAGGTGGTGTTATCAGCTCTGAAAATGATGCCGTAGCTCGATCACAGGTAGCGCAGAAGCAGGAGGAGAGTAGAAATGCACAGATGGATCATGGAGAGCAAACGGATTCCATCATGGTCAGATCTCCGTTTGGAAATGGAGACACGGTAGACCTATCAGACACTGAACCTGAAGGAGAGGCAAAGGAGGACAACATTATCATGTGTGAAACAGGAAATGAACTACTATCCATCTCACAACAGTTAGGTCCTGCTTCAAGGTCAGAAACTCTCCAGGACCCTGACTCTGAGATGCAGGAGGACCAAATCCCTGACACAGCAGACCAAGCTTCTTTACCAGTAACTCTGCCCAATGGAAACATCACCACACCAACAGACCATAACCGCAGCTCCACGCCCATGGAAGTGGGAACTTCTCATCCATCCATGGTCTCTCCTCCAAACCAGTGTCCTATTACAGTGTGCAGCTTGCAGCACCACTGGGCATTAAGAGACCACATGCTATACTGTCACATCGGAACCTGGAAGGAAGACATGTCAGGTAAGGATCAGTCAGAAGACACCAAGACGGATGGAAAGACTCACAGTGTAGAGAGCCTGGAGCAGCTCACTGATTTGGTCCACGGTAAGTTGTTTTGGGAGCATACATGAATATATTCGTCATCTTTGCAGTTTGCTCAAACGAAGCATTAGTTTTTACACACACTTAAAGAAGTAAGGGCTGAAGATGTCTGTACTTTTTTGTGTCATGACATCCACCAGAACATATGGTCTTATCTATGAAACAGTAACTCACACAGTTTGTCTAAACTTTATGCATAATTAAGAAGATTTATGGTATATTTTCTTATTTCCCCTTTTTAATAAATAAACTAATAAAGGATGATTAATGTAGGAAAAAATGCGAAATATGAAAGACTCCACTTTAATGTTTTTCTTTGAGTTTGCAGACCCCCCCACCCCACCACAGACTCGGTGTTATAAGCTTGGAATTGGTCTGTGGCCCTGAACCTAAGTGCCAGCAGATATTTTGGCTTTCAGGCCACACATTTAATTTAGGATCAACCCTGATTTACCTAGATTTTCATATGGGGGGAACACATCAGTCATCTGCACATGTGTCATGAATCAGAAATAGGGATTGTTTTTCTTCTCAACATTAATATCTGAGGCCCTTTCATGCAGACGTAGTTCTGTCCTTAGAGAATAAAGTCTTGTGCTTTGTAAGTTGTTGGCAGGTAATATGTATCAAAATTACTACAACTTTGCTGCAAGTGCTATGCAAATATAAATAATACTGCACTCAAACTCACAAAAATGTATATTGCATTTATACTGCTTGCATTCATCAGTGCACAGGCCTGAATGTGTTAGAATTATAACTGGCTGGTACAGAATCAGCATTTTGAATGTGAGTTTTAACATTTTTTGAACTCTGTTTCCTCTCAGTGAGACGGATGTCCTAGAATATCTGAGGAACAAAGGCAACTCTGACCTCAGCAACAGGTTAGTGCTCACACAGTCTGCCTGAATCCGCTCGTCTGAGTGTTAATGTGGACCTGCGATGCATTTGGACACATCTGGGTACAATCTCTATTACACAAGAAGGACAGTGATAACAGATTAGCGTTTTCCCAGCTGTTGGCTAACGTATCTCAGGTTGTTCAAAACCTATGGCCTATGAATTATCAGACTACAGCACCTAGTGCTTATATACTGTATGTGCTTCTGTTTTTTGGAATATTATTTTTAATCTCTAACCTCTTTCTATCTTAATCTGTGCATGTCATCCTAAAAATGGCCTTCACAATACAGTATAACAGCCACATCGCAGGTTTCTGTTTAAAACTGCGTTTATCCTCTTGTTGTGCCTGCCCTAGGGGGCTTGACATTAAAGGGGAGATGACTCGGTACAGGGCAGGGCTGGCCTCTGCTCCTATCGCAGGCTTCATGGTGATGTATAACAAACACACCCTGAGCTTGGAGGACCTCGGGACACTGGAAGAGCAGAACTGGCTTAATGACCAGGTAAAGAAAAGCTTTCTTGCCACAATCACTGTCCAGCCTACTAAATGAAAGTCACTCTTGATTCGGGCTTATAGCACCTCATAACCTTTGGCCTCGGCACAAAGGAAAGAGTATTACTAATGCTGGACAGCCCTTTCACTTCTCTCTCTGTCTGTTCCTCTGGCTGTTAGATTATCAACATGTATGGAGAGCTCATTATGGAAGCAACACAGCACAAGGTGAGTCAGGGCTTAAAATTTACTTTGTTCCTCAACCAAGAGGAAGTGTAGAAAAAAGTCTAGGTGTATAGTGACCAGACTTTAATGTGGTTGAACATGTTCTTAACTCCAACCAGATCTCAGATGACTAACTGCTGCCACACTGACAATAGGGCCACAAATTTTACAACTGCTTTCTACTGAGATTAAATTTTAGCCACAGTTCCCTCTGTTGCAGCTGTGGTAGATCAGACACTGAGAATATTTGTGTAAATTCCCGTTCTTTCCTCCCTGATTTTTGCGTCCCTGAATGAGAACACCTTAAAATGCATAATACATGAGACCCAATGCAAATTCCTGTGCAGGACCCATTGTGATTCCTTAGTAAATGAACACATGCAATTTCACTGTTTAGCACCAGAAAATGAGCTGCTAAACCTTAGTAAATATCCCCCTTAGACATTTATTAAATAAATGTAAACTTGACTTTGTAATGTGTTACTGTGTTTGATTCTTTTCTCTCAGGTTCATTTTTTCAACAGCTTTTTCCACAAGCAGCTGGTTGCCAAGGGCTATGATGGTGTGAAGAGATGGACGAAAAAAGTACGGAGGAGGATTTTGGAGTCTTGCTATTCTTCAGCTGTTTAAACAGTAATGATAGTAACTGAAATCTCCAGCTTCAAATTAATTGAGAGAGAGCTTCACACACAGCACTTACCCTTTTGCTGCAGAAAATGGTTTTGGATCACTGTCAATGTGTTTGTCACAGGCTAAATGCATTGTGCTTACTATATATTAAAAAAAATGTCCAGTGATTTTTGAAAACACCATTTGACACCAAGTTGCAGTCAGACCTGTTAGGTGAAGGAAGTGGAAATGTCAAACAAAGATGCTGATCAACCTGTTTGTTCTGTAGTTTGTAGCTTTTAGAAGGTCTGTCACTTATAAAACACTTAATGCCCCATAATATGACTTATATTTAGTGCACACATGAATTATTGTAGGTGTCTTGTAGTAGACACCTGCAGAATTTTGTTTCTTGGATATTTATTTTGTGTTTGTTAATAAGTGGGAATTTTTTTTCTTAGGTAGACCTGTTCTCCAAGTGGTTGTTACTAATTCCCATCCATTTGGAAATCCACTGGTCTCTCGTCACGGTCACCATGGCAACCAAAACCATCAGCTATTATGACAGCCAAGGGATTGTTTTTAGACACACCACAGATGTGAGTGCCACTGTGCATGTTGATGTCTTTGAGCTGTAGTTCATCGTTTTAGATTTGGGATGATGTTAAATCTCTGCAGAGCAAACCAGCGTTGATAAGACAGGATCAGGAGTAATCCAGCTTTTCTGCTCTCTGCCCTGACAGATTAATAATCCATAAGTTCTTGGCAAAAGAACAAAACTGCATGAGATAGATTTAGTTTCGTGTATTTCAGTCCTGCCGGAGAGATGGGGTGCAGGTGAAGATATGGTGGACTTAACACAAAACTTTAAATGTTGGTCACATTCTCACCGTCTCCTTAACTAGCCTGAGGAGTGTCTGAATCCTCCAAATCCTTGACAGACTTTCCTCGAAACTATTTCAGTCCTTGCATAACCCACACTATCTTCTGGAATCCAAATTGAAATTTAAGTTTGTTGAAAATGGTTGAAGGTATTTATAAAGTCAAATAATGAATTTAAAGTAGAGGTTTAGCGCTAGTCCACCATTTTCACAGTAGCTTAGCTCTGTCCTCTGTGTGTGTGTGTGTGTGTGTGTGTGTGTGTGTGTGTGTGTGTGTGTGTGTGTGTGCGTGCGCGCGCCCGCCCGCATGTGCTCTTCTCTCTCAGAACATCATGAAATACCTTCAGTCTGAAGCTAGAGAGAAGAAACAGACGGCTTTCCAGAAAGGTTGGAAGATTACTATCATCAAGGTAACACTAATGCTCAGGGTGTGTTCACCATGCGGCTGTAAACCTTTATATCAATATTAACATTTCTAATACTTATTTGTTAATGTGAAGGAGTAAACAAACACATTTCTGTAAGGTTTATTACTGTTGATGGACTCAGGAGTTACTTTCGATCAGCATATAAACCTTAAACAAGACATAATCAGGTTTCTGTTGCATTCTCTTTTTTCCCCCAGTATCTTACAGTATCCTACTACAAATACTATAGCTTAGTTCCATCTGTGCACAGTAAATACAGTACATGCATATAGAGACACGCACTGTTCTGTTGAGAAGCTGTAACTGTGCTATTGTGCTCTGGCTACCCGGCTAACTCGGACTTGTTGACTCCTCAGGGTATTCCACAGCAGAAAAATGACAGCGACTGTGGAGTGTTTGTCCTTGAGGTGAGACATATTTCTTTCTCGCTGTTACTGCTGTCTTCCTATCCTTAGGTCATCACCCGGTTCTTTTTTATTTTCCTCATCTCTTATCCCTGCTTGCCTCCTGTCTTTGCCTTGTGTGTCTAGTTTCTTGGCAGGAAAGGAAATAAAGTAGATCTGTCTCCAGTTGCTTTCCTGCCTCAGTCTCCCAAGGGGCTAAAGACATTGGAGAGAAGCTTCTGTCATTGTCCAGACTTAATGTCGATGCAGCTGTGGGTGTGGATTGTTTAATGTCATTATCTGTCTTTCTATCTCTCAGTACTGCCGCCGTCTCTCCATAAAGCAGCCTCTGCAATTCACTCAGGAGGACATGCCTCACATCCGCAAGAGAATCTATAAGGAGCTGTGTGACTGTCGCCTTAACGATTGAACAACTCAGTATTGGCCTCCTTTGCTCATGAACTGTTTGCCTAGTTACATGGGATGGTCTCACTCAGTCAGACGGCCTGTTTCACTGGCCGCCTGTTACATAAGCTAACACAACATGGCTATCTATATTCCGAGGAGCCTGAACTGCCAGTCTGCCTGTATGACAGACAGCAGAGCGGCTGTCATGTGGGACTTTTTGTGACCTCAGTAAGAGTCTGTAGCTGAGCAGGTTTTTACTTGCAAAGTTTCAAAGAACTACTGATGTGGCCCCCTACTGACCCTTGAATGCTGGACTTGTACCCTTTGTGTTCTGCAATTACCATCTCCACTGGATTTTAACCGAATGGCCAAACAGTCACCGTTAAGAACACAGCAGGGAGCTTGGACCTTGGACCTTGACTGAGGACACAGGTGTCAGACCAGCCTGAACCGATGGGCTGGACTTTCCCCTCCCCGATGGAGTGGCCTTAAATCCCGGACGGCCATTTTGAACTGAGTGACATTTTTAACAGTTAATTTGATGCTGGTCTCAGCAGCAGTAATACGCTTATAGTTCTGTGTTTTGTAACATGTTATTAAAACTAGGATGTGAGATCCAGTGGACCAACTGGTCACTTAAAACTTGAAGGTTTGAGTTGGTTTCCTTCTCTCGGACTACAGATATTTGCACGGTCAGAGGCCAATTTACTGAAGAGTCTAGAATAGCCTTTGAATGTACTGATCACATTTTCTTCCTGACTGCATTTCAGGGTCAGCACCTCAACAGCATACAGGCCCACGGCACATTTTGGCTGTGGCTTGAAACAGGGATATCATTTTTCAAAAGTAGTTTTAGTTTGAAATATCACATTTGTGATCATTTCATTTTAAAATCCCAAATTTTCCATCACATAGTTTCTTGCCATTTTGTTTTCCTGTGATCACATCCATATGATTTTGAGCATGTTTCCAGCCAGAAAAAAAAGCTCTTGTTCAGTGATACTTTAACATTCGGATCCATCGGTTTGAGCTGTTTCTCTTGCTGACTAGTAAGTTTCATATTGCACTGTATAGCTAGCTGCTGTTATGAGGGCCACAGCATTTCATTTTGGGTAAGAAGTTTCTTCTGCTTTAGGTTGCAACTTCTTCATTTTGATGCATTAACACAGGAAGACAGTTGTGGTTGCAGAGTTGCTTCTTTACAGAGCAACAAGGACCCCAGTTATTTTGATTCTTATGTCTGATCTAGATTTTGTTATTATATTCACTTATGTATTTACAAATTGTATTGTACTTTATTGGCCTACTACTGTACATGCTTGCTTTGGCTAAAAACCACAGTGGTTTCTTGGCTGTTTTTATTGTTATTAAAAGGCCAGTTCTGTTGGAAATTTTGTGAAATCTTTTCTTAAATGGGTGGTGTGATTAACAAAATTACAAAAAAATGCTTAATTGATGAGAAAACAGCATCAGTGACATGATGGCAGGATGAATGCTGTTTTTTCAGTTCTGTTAGTAGTAATTGAGACAGAATTTAAAAAAAAAACGAACAATCCTATTTATTTAGCATACCTGTTTCTCCTCTATTACTTATCCTTGAAATGCAGTACCGATTAAAAAATAAATGTCCCTGCCCAAACTAAGGATATGAATTAACTCAATTCTTATGTCAATAAAATTCAAGGGCATATACAGTAAATTTTACTTTACACCATATCCCACCAGCAGCCTACAGTTTTTGATTATGAATCAGAAACTCTGCCGAGAGTAATAGTGCTGTGCAACAAGTCCTGATTTTACTGTGACATCTAAGCTCTGTTTAGTTCTGTTGTTTTTGCTGGCCCTCCATGTCCAACTCGCTTTCCAACATGATGCTCTGCTATGACTGTAAATTTGTATGACTGAACGTGTCCATCTGTAAGTAGATTTGTGTAATCAGAGTAGATCTAGCAAGATAAAACTGTTATTAGGAAAACTCTTAAAAGGAGTTTTATCGGCCGTGCCCGTCTATCTCTATCTCTCACTCCCGCGTCTCCGTCTGTCTGTCCGTCCAGCCATTTCAAGAATTTCAACAACAAAGATCTGTGAAAGGTAGGTGGCTTTTCTTTATTTTTTTTAACCTGGTTGGTTCTCCTTTAGGTGGCCGCCATGCCACAACAATTGTCTTGCATTTCCATGACGATATTTTATTGCTGCACGTTGATCCATCCATTAGTTCAAGATGGCCACCGGTTCATCGAATTGTTATGTTAAGCATCGGTCATAATTTAAGTGTGGGTCATCATATAAGCATTGATGTAGAAAAGGCACGTGGCATTTAATTTTTTTCTCTAACCTGGTTGAATCTCCTTTAGATGGCCGCAATGCCACCGTGATTTTATTTTTGTTCTTGATATCCTTGGTCAACTTTGCGCATCTGTCTATTTACAAAAGGTAAGTGTTGGATCTCTCTGTCTCATTTTTTCTTTCTCTCAAAAACATGACCCTGGTGTCATGAATTTCTAATCTGCTTGAATGTGAATTTTTGCAATAACACATTTTTTTCAGGAAAATCTCTAAAACTGTAAGTGCTATTTTTATTACTTGCCCTTGTCGCGGCAGCTCCTGCCTGCCTCTATCTTCTATTTTCAGTCTTTATTTCCATTTTTTGGGTATTGGAGGTGCCTGGTTTGAGACGAGAGGTCTGAGTGTATTCACACAGCTCTGTTTGGCGTGCTTTTGGCTGGCGCCTGGTTGTGTGTCCGGTGTGCCCACCATGGCCATCTGTTCTGTTAGTCTGTTTTGTGTCCTACAGGGGGCGGAGTTTAGTTAACTATCTGACTTCCTCATGCCCCCTGCCCGTTTACCAGGGTCACATACAGTCAGCATATAAGTCAGGCGTTTTAATTATCCTACTTTGGTTATTGGGGTAAATTCTGCCTGTTACTCTGTAGTCACTTTATACACGGGCACATTAGATTAATTGGCTGTACCACTGTTTGGGATACTGGTTTTCTCAAGTGTTTATTCAGCCCATAGATAATCTGTTAGAATACATTTAAATTCTGTTTTGGCATCTGAAGTACATGTATGATCTTTTGTCAAGTTAAATGGCTAGATTAGACAAACTGCATTTTTCAAACATAAACTGCACTTTGTATATTTAGTGCTGTCATCGAGATTATTACCGCCCAGATTTTGATTTAAAAATAGTTTATTGTACTTTAGTGTTAGGCCTCTGGATCATCTTGCTCTGCCAAGTTTCAAGGGGGAGACTTACGCTTCAAGTAGACCCGCTGAGGTTAGTTTAGCTTCTCATATGCTTATTATATTTTCCGGATATGTGGGGATGCCTCCCAGCAGGGGAATTTATCCTACTCCTGCAAAGCGTTCTGTCATTAACATGGGGATACTTTAGGTAGTTTCATATTTACATTGGGCTGTTGTCGGTCCTGGTTTACTCAGTAGACACTGTACCAGCCGGGAGCGCGTTTGGGTTCTTGCGAGCTAACCTGGCAGAGACAGATGACTTAGATGACTCCTTTAAAAAAATATAAATAAAAAAAATACCCAGTTTGGGTGTATTTGCCTTTTATATCTGTGATGAGAATGACAGCAGTGATACTATGAAAGCCTGATTGTCAAGTATACAGGCTCACACCATAGTGAACATGTATTATTACTGAGTTTTACTCTTTTTAACATTCTTATAGCAAGATTATACTATAGGCTGAATGTATTAAGGCTAACAGGCTTTGTATTAACAGAGGAAGAAACTAAGCTCTGCAGGGCCAATACCTCAGTTGTTAAGGTGAAAATTGGCCCTTAACAGTGTTATTTCTTCTGAGCTCTTAGCTTGGCCACATAAATTAGCCTATCCTCTTCTCGACCTTCATATATTCCTACACAGTGTACACTGAAAAGTACTTTCTAAATCAGAAGTGAGAGAAAACGAGTAGAGAACAAACATGGGAGACAGTTGTAGTGTCAATTGAGTGAGTTACACAGCTTTTTGGAAACATTACAGGTTGTACATTATCTTGCTAAATCAGTGCAGAGTGACAACCAGTTCAGCTCTAAACACAGACAGGGTTAAGATAAGCCAGGGCTTCTCCACACTACAGAGAACGAGGTCAACTGAGTTGACTCGCATCATAAAGAGACAAGGCTTTTCTCCTTCCCCTTCTTCTCAGTGTGTGGAGGAGTCAGAACTTTAACGTTTGATCATTTGGACGGTCGCTGAATCTGTCTTTAAATCTATATATTTGCTGGAAAAGTTACTGAGGTACTTGAGGGAGAAGTGCAGGTAGCTAGAATAGTAAGGAAGAGTCAAGGCAAATTATAGTGTGCAAATACAGGATATACTGAGTTGGTTTTGTGTGCCATGGTTGTGCAGTTTCCAAAACCAGAGAAGGATCTCTCTGGTTTTGTGAATCAGCCGACATGGTATGCCATTATGATCCTACCAAGAAGACGTACTGTAGAATTGATGTTGACATGTTTAAGAGGTAGATTCGGTGAGGTAGAGCCAGCTGTGACGAGCGCAGTTCAAGATAAGGATATACATAAAAGACCCAACTGTATAAAGGTGAAGAGACAAAGAAGCACCACATCTCTCACTTCCACTCATTTGTATTTGAACATTACACTTACAAACTAGCAAACCTACATTTTTTTTTTGACTAGATTTTTTTTTTCCCTCCTCCACTTTCTAAATTGACCATACTGTGTTTCACAACGCCCTAGTTGCCTATTTGAAAGCACCAGTCATGGACAATAAGGCCATTGTGAGGGAAAGTAGACAGGATATAATATTTGATAAATTAGAAAAAAGTACATTGTTCTTTTTGGTTGAAAAGTTGCAGTGTACCAAGTTGTTTCCTGTCCCACCAGAGGAGCTGACACGGGATGCTGGGACCCAGAAATTGACGTATTCAGCTGTGAAAAAGATGAACACAATGCCGTATCAGACCCTCATCGACAATGATGACGCCTCTGCACCACAAGTTGTTGATCTCTTCAGAGACGTCAGATATACATTTATGTCCACTACATTAAGTCTTTATTTTCTCTGTACTTAATGTCTGAGTGACTTTTTTTTTGTTGATCTCTTCAGAGACGTCAGATATCCATTTATGTCCACTTCATTAAGTCTTTATTTTCTCTGTTCTTAATGACTGAGTGACTTTTTTTCTCTTTTGACTCGGATGCCCAACCTTAGGAAACTGAAGTTGCAGAAAACAACCTGGTGATGCAAACGGGACCATAACTGATTCATCGGAGATGAGGAGGCTGGCTATAGACGTCTGCACCAACCTGTTTGATCCTGAGAGCTGAGAATGACTTGAGATCTTTTAGGGACTATATGATTAAAGGGAAGGTCAGTCAGCTTTACCCAAATCTGCCACCATCTTTTATGAAATGACTGCCCCTGAACTGTAACCTGTCCTCTGAAGTTGATGGAAATTTTGTACAAGTATTCTTGATTAAAATATTAATCATGGGTAGGCTTAGTTGTTAGATCAATAAGTAATTCTCCATACACATGAAGTTGTGCTTTAATATGTTGTAAGCCTGTCTTGATAAGTATAGTTGTGCTGTTTCTAAATCATCGCCAAATTTTGATAACTTTATTTTACTTTAGGGTTAACCTTGTTGCTTGTTGTTTTGCTCTGCCAATCTTCAAGGGGGAGATGCGCACTTCAGGTAGGCCCAGTGAGGTAAAGTCTTGCGTTTCCTATACTTATTAGATTTTC